CAGACCTCATTCCCCAAGTCCTGGCTGATAAGCTACTTTCCAGAATTAGCTGCCTACAAACATAAGTCATACTGAACAATAATTACCAGAATTTAAATGGGCATTTTTATAATATAATGTTTTGCATAACGCCTATATGCACTCAGCACTTTATCTCCATATGATCCCTCTAGATAAGGAGGTGGGTGAAACCGCATAGGTTAGGTTGTCTCTGAGAGAGTGAGCACAGAATACCTCATGTGGGTTTCTCCTCTGGCTAGCTCTGTAGAGAGAATTGGTATATTTTCATATCCTAGTTCACACATTCGCAGGATGTCTTCTTGCACTCTTGTCAGATTTTAAATAACATCCTTAAACCATCCACTAGGGTTTCAGGACATACTTTTCTTCAGCTTGGCTTTGATTTGGCTGCTGTCACAAGAATCTCAATTATGAAACATAGGCTGATTGGTTGGTTAAAAAACCAGTGTGGCAAGTCAAATTGTGCTAAAGCTTCCTGTAACTTGGTAGATCTGAGCAACCAAATGGCTATATTTGGTTACTCAGCAGAACCAATGTTCATTTTACACAGAGAGAAACTGAGGCACGGAGTGGTTACATAAGTAAGAGCTATAGAGGGAGTCGTCAGCACAATGGGATGTGAAACCCAGGACTGCTCACTTCCTAATCCTTTGTTTGTTCCAGTAGATCACTCTGCTTCTCAAAGCTCGTAGACCTGAAGCCAAGACATGAATGGGGAGGGTTCCTCAGCTTTCCCCCTTGCTGTGCTGTGTTGCACTATCCCTTCAACACCACCTCTTTTGTTGTTGATCTTAGCCTGGCCACCAGAGGAGGTTTCATTCACCAGGGAAATTTTGGGAAGCAGCTCAGAGTTCCACCTTGGAAACCACCCTGTCATGTATATGTTATCAAGGGATGGGATGGGAACACTCCGCTTGGCTGACCTTTCTAAACATGAACGGCTGTGCTTGCACTGCCCAAGCAATGCAGATTGAGAAATACTTTCAGTGTGTTTTCACAGATGCCATGTGGCCCTCTCTGTCAAAGTACTTCTGCAACAGATGGATGACCATTCAGTTCTCATGACTAAGGTGAATCTATGGATATAAAATCACTGATGCAGCCATGTCTGAGTGTGCCATTTATGAGACAGATTGTTCTCATTTGAGACAGATGCCTTTCTCTTTGGAAGCGTTGTTACTTAGTGGAGAAATATTTAAAGGGATCTTATCAAGACTTCAAAGCCTGGGAAATTCAATCTGACTTAATCTTTGGCCATAAATTAACACTTTTATGTTGAGTAAAACTAATTCAAAATTTTGGTTTTATAGATTTGGAAAACTGGAATTTTTTTTTTTATTTTAATTTTTTTGCCTGGACTCTGCTTAGGGTGAGTTTGAGAGTTTGTAATGAATGAATCAGGGACTGTAGTTTTTTATTCTGTTTGTCCAGCAGCTAAGGGGCTCCTGGTCCAAGACTGGACTTCCTACATGTTACTATAATAAAAAAAAATATGGAGATATACCTATCTCATAGAACTGGAAGGGACCCTGAAAGGATAGAGTCCAGCCCCCTGCCTTCACTAGCAGGACCAAGTATTGATTTTGCCCCAAATGGCTCCCTCAAGGATTGAACTCACAACCCTGGGTTTAGTAGGCTAATGCTCAAGCCACTGAGCTATCCCTCCCCAATAATACAATACAGTAATACAAATAATAAATAATAACAATCCTTGGAGAGAACCCAAAATAGAAAAATCAATCCACTCCTGAACTGTGTCCCATGGGACCCTGAGGTTCTGCATAGTGTAAACTGTAAAATATTTGATCATAAACAATTACGGAGTCTATTCTCTCATGTAGGAAGGGTTGTGATAATTTACTGGGTTTGGATTCAATGCTCTGATTTTCTAATGTTTTGGTTCAGAAAATACGAGCATGAGAAGCTTGCCACATTGTATCTGATCTCTCTCTCTCTCTCAATAACCAGTGCAGGATGCTTCAGAGGAAGGGATAAACCCACCACAGTGGGTACCAAACTAGTAATACTAATCAATGGGGGTTATCTCTGTTCTCTGTTGGTGACCTTATCCAGCCTTGGAGTACAATGACTGATTGCCATTGCTTTTAATTTTAGCTAGGGAATAGCTGCTCCAAATGTAATTTTTATGCTAAATTTCATCTTGGACTAATAAAATGACAAATAAAATGTATAACCACCTAGTCTAAAAATGAGAGAATAATATACAGACCTGAAGGAATACAGGTGCTAGTGTGATCTAGACTGGATCAGGTACAGGACTCAAATACCTGGATTCTATTCCCAGTTTTTTCATTGCATTTGTATGCCGTTGGACAAGTCACTTAACTTCTCTGAACCTTACATTTTCCCTTCTGAGATAAATGATGCTCATCCAACTTTGCAAAGTGCTTTGAGATCTATTGATAACCTTGACTCAAATCTTTGGAATTTCTTGTACTGCAAATATTGAACTCTAGCAGTGAGTAGAGGGGTCTTCCCAATGAAAAGGGAATCTCAACCTGTCTCCAAAAAGGTTAAGAAGGAACTAATATTTCAAATGTTAAACTGGCCATGTGATGCCAGGACCCATTTAGAAGGCAGAGATTGTGGTAAATATCCCCCTTCTGATGCTTGTCTCAACAGGATGTGTCCACTTCAAGGTCTAACTGGATGCTATGAGTTATAGAACCCTGCAAATCTATGGATATCCACGGACCATTTTTGCAGAAAGTGGATCGAATGCAGATACAACCGTACAGGGCTCTGATCACCAGCAGTGCCTGGCCTGTGGCATCCGGCTTGGGCAGCCTGGGTGGTGCAGCGCGCTCGGGACCGGTGGTCAGTGCTGGGGGGCACCCACTTGCTGCACCGCTTCCTGTCTAGCAGCTCGGGTCTCTTGGACAGTGACAGCGTCCCCACCGTGGGGATTGGAGTGGGTGGGGCTCCAGCACCCCACCCCTCCACCCCATTGTGATGCAATGCCCTCCTGCTGCCATCACTCGCGAGCCCCTAGTAGCAGCACGCGATGCACTGCCCCTTCCCCTCAGCCCACCACTCTGAGCCGCCCCTTCTCCTTGAGACATCCCACTGTCCAAAGTCAGACAGTAAATTAACAGCACCCAAATACAGGGAACCCACCCTGTCCCAAATCCCTGAACAAATGGATGGGTTCTGCTCCAGCATGTCCTGAAGGGCAAGACTTTTGCCTTCAGGGATAAAGGGGTGGGTGAATTCCCAAGTAGAGGGTCCCTACTGCATCTCCCACCGCTCTGGACTCTGTAGTTCACTTCTGTCGTTGGTCTAAAATAGGCCATATCGGTTGCCTTCAGGACGTGCTGGAGGGTGAGAAGTAAGAGTCAGTCCCAGTCACAAAGAGGAAGAGCTTGTCTCTTTCACTAACAGAAGTTGGTCCAATAAAAAACATCCTCATCCACCTTGTTTCTAATAAAGAGCATAAATAGATAAGTGAAAGAGGCACACTGAGGTAAAGTGACTTCTCTAGGGTTAGACAGCAGGTCAGAGGCAGAGTAAGGAACCGAAACCGGCGCTTGCTTCCAAGCCTGTGCCCGACGTACAAGGGCACCCTGCCTCTCAATCATCTTATACTTGGTTTTTTGCACTAAATGACACTTACCCAGAAATGCGCATGGCAGTTAGTCTTCATGGTCCTTTCCAGAATTTCATCTGAGCACTGCAAGATTGGTTTCCCTGCTACAACCCCAGCATTATTTATCAGGACGGTGACATCTCCCACCTCCCGACGCACTCTCTCTGCAGTGTTATAGACGTCCTCTCGCTGGCTCACGTCACAGGTGTAAGCATAAGCCTTGGCTCCCAGCTCCCTCACCTGCACCACAGTCTTTTCATTACCATCTGTGTCTATATCCCACAGGACAAGCGTCGCACCTCTTTGGGCGAGTTCTAAAGCAAAATGCCGACCCAGTCCTCTTGCACTGGCCGTACCTGTTATTAAACATATTTCATTGGTGACTCTTTTCTCGGTGGGCCTCTTTATCCACCGCAGAAGGGACTGGATTATATAGCCCACAACTTTAGCTGTGAGGAGCAGAAAATCTATAAGCACACCCATTGTTTCTTTTCTTTTAAAATAGGAGCAGTCTGTGGAACGCCAATGTAGTGACGGCCTCAGACAGCACAGTCCAGAAAGGATATATAGGGAAATGCTGGATTAAGAGATTATACAGGCCTGCCACCGCTACCAATAAGTGAGAGGGATCTGTACTATAATGGAGGCATTAGGAGCCTGATCCTGCAAGGTGCTAACTGCCCTTGATTCTCATTGACTTCACCAGGAATTGAGAGCACTCAGCAGCTTGCGGCAGGATCAGGCCTTAGATTTGCAGCTCAAGGATTTACTGAACGTGTAACAGTTGGGGAGCGTTTCATTTATGAAACGTTGCACAAGCTTGAACTCTTGAGTTCCACAGTTGCTGCCCTGAAACCACTGCACTGATGTGCTAAATGTCAGAGTCCTGCCTGCTTTTGACGCGAAAACTGCCATTAGTGCAAAGCACTGGCCTGGAATGAAACAGGCACGCTGCTTTCCAGGACCCGTTACACTTTCTCTTTGCTGTCTTTGCCCAGACTCCCGCCCGGTGGTCTCAGGCCCACCTGGGCACAGGACCTGCTTGATGGGGTTTTACCAACCCAGACCCGTCCTGGTGTGTGGCTGCCTTAGAGAAGGGACAAACCAGACCCTTTAACTCCAGGCCCATCTCCTCCTCCTACAAACCGTGGGCAGGCGGTCGTGGGTTGCACAACCGCTCAGCCTTTCTGTGTCTGACTGGCCAGCGGGGAGGGAGCCCGATTAGCGAGCGCCCAGAGCGGTGAGCCCTGGCGTGCTGAAACGAGCATGGCCCGACACAGACAGCTCCTCGGGGACTACATTTCCCAGGTATCCGTGCGTGGAGCATGCGCAGTCAGGCACAGTCCACTATATAAGGGCGTGCTGCGGGCAGGCGCTCCCTTTTTCGTTCCGTTCGCTGAGAGTAGTGGTGAGTGGCTTGTGCGGGGTGGGGGCTGCGTACAATCCAGTGCCATCCGCGGCCGTCCGCGCAGGTGCCTGTTCCCTGTCCAGCTCCAGCAGTGCCTCGCAGCCCCTACTGCTGTACTCGGCCTGTATTGATGGGGTGTCCCCTCTGGAGGGGCCGCGGGGATCCGGCTGCATCTCGGCCGCGCCCTGCTGCCTTGGGGAGTCCTTCGCTAGCGGCTGCCTCTGCTGCTCCAGCCTGCTCTCTCGCTGGCCGCCACCCCCCGTTCTCCAGCAGACGGTCGCTCCCCCTGGAAGAGGGCCCGGGGGTGTCTGGCCGCTGACCGGGTTGGCCGCTCTCTGCTCCCCAGCCAGGGGTTCGCCCGCAGCCCGGGGTCTCGCTGGTGCACGTGATGACTAAAGCTTTTTTCCCCATCAGAGCGACAGTGTTGATTTCGCTGCTCTAAGCCAGATTGGGTCTGATGCACCAGCCCGGGGAGGCGGCCTTTGCTTTGCTCCCGCCGGATGGTCAGCGAGACTAAATCTCTTTCGCCTCTTCGGTCTTCTGCTTCTCAGGTCCACCAAGCAGGCGCGAGCAACATGTGCTGGAGACCTGGCCTGGTAGAGCAAGGCCAGGCGCGGCCCCAGGATAGAACCAACAGGAAGCACCGGTGCTCTGATTATGACCCCACTGTGTCCATTGCCCCCTGTGACCCTCATGGAGGAGGCAGCGGTAAGTCCGTCTATGAATAAATACCCTTCACTGCTGTTTTACAAGTTTTTGTTTCTTGGTGCCTGCATGTAAATACTGTGTGAAGCTTTGCTTAGGGTAGCCCAGGTGGGGGTGGCTGTAGCTTGCACTCCACGTTTGCTAGTTAGGTGGACTAAGCAGTCATTGTACAGACAGAACAAAAATGGTCTTTCCTCAAAGAATACTCTGTATGGCCCTCTCCATGGTAAATTGTCATACCCCAAACCACCATTGCCCCAGCCAACAGATATAAGCCACTCTTATTTTGCATCCTTTTTGCCACTTTCTCTGTCCAATATCTTTTGCTATCTTAGGCTCCCATTTTTAAAGTGCTGCTCTTTTGCCAACCCTTGTCCCTATCTGCTCCTGTAACGCTGCCGTTTCATTTTTTCCCCCTTGTTTCTCAGTATGTTTTTTCCCTTCCCCACATGTGACCAAACAACCGGCTTCTGTATCTTAAGCTTGCATAGCACCTACCACTGTAACATCTAAGGTGCTGCAGTCTCTAATTTAGATGGGTGCTAGGTGCTCACAGTTTTCTGGCTGAAACATGTAACTGGTATTCTTATGGCTGATTTATTAAAAAAGTGAAGTGCAGTTGAATGCCAACCTAATGTGCAGATAACCAGTTAGCTACATAGGTCACATGTGTCTGTCTTGCTGAATCTGCATGCAAACTAGGGTGTCATTTGCATGCTGCCCTGGCACTTCCCTCCAGCTCACTCTGGAGCTGAGATCTCGCTGGTGTACGTGATGACTAAACTTTTTTCCCCATCAGAGCGACAGTGCTGATTTTTCATTGCTTTAGCCAGATTCAGTCTGATACACCATCAGGGAATGGCCCCTTCTCCTCTTCTCTCCTTCCCTCCTCCTCCCCCCCCCCCCCCCCCCCCCCCCCCCCAACACACACTGTAGTTAATCCCACCCCGTGGCTTTGTACATTTTAGGTCCATGGCAGCAATGTGGAACAACATGAGCCTGGGATACCTGGCTCACTGAGAGAAAGGTGACATGGTGACCTGAAGTAGACTTGGAAAGAGTGGCCACTGCCCTGGTTAACAAGCCACTTGTGAGCCATTAATAGGGGAGAGTGGTAAGTTTCTGAATAAATATCTTTCAGTATATGACAGCAATCACAAATAATTTCTCCCTACAAGGGAGAGACTGGCTTTAAACACAGTCATGTGTCCCACTTACTTATTATGGTAGTGCATAAGGGCCAATTGAGAATGGGGCCCCATTATGCTAGTCACTGTACCAACAATAGTAGACAGATGCTGCCCTGAAGAGTTTACGCTCTAATAGACAAGACAGACATTTATTTAATCCTTCACCCTCTCAGGCTAGAAGTTTGTGCATAGTGCCTCCCAAGTAGGAGTGACTGCAGCCTTTGCTTTTAAACATTCTGTTTAGGTATCATTTAAAAAAAAACAAACAAACAAAAAACCCTTTCGCTTTGGATGCATCCTTTCTACAGAAATATCTCGTCCCTCCATTGCCCCCACATGTCTGTAGCTGACCAAGTCTGCCAGCCTTAGACATTGGTGGCAAATACTGCATGTAAACAGCAGTGCATGTTCAGTGGTGAGGAACATGAAAAGCCAGGGCCCAGCCAATCCACCATTGCTCAGGTTGCTGGATGGCAATGGGCACATAATTGATTGGGGGTCATTAAGCTTTGCAAATGGTACGTGAATGGGAACATATGTGGAAGTCTGGGAGCATTGAGAAATGTCTGTAAATGCATGACCCATGAAATGCAGGCCAGTCAAGGGTGGAAGGAAAGGGTTTGCTGCTCATGTGTGTTGTGTTCTGTGGACACCTGAAGAGCTCTGTGAATCTTGAAAGCTTGTCTGTCTCACCAACAGAAATTGGTTCAATAAAAGAGATTACCTCGCCCACCTTGTGTCTCTTGCATCCTGTTAGGCAGATCCCATTGTGATAGCTTAATAGTTTGTCATGGGATGGAATGGGTAAATGCTAGAATGAGCAGGGGACCAGAAGTATATTGCAGGAACAGCTCCATAATATCAGAGAGGTAGCCCTGTTAATCTGCATCCACAAAAATGAGGAGTCCGGTGGCACCTTAGAGACATACTTATTTGGGCATAAGCTCTCGTGGGTAAAAAAACCCACTTCTTCAGATCCATACGTCTGAAGAAGTGGGGTTTTTACCCATGAAAGCTTATGCCCAAATAGCTTCATAGTGGCTCTGTCCAAGTCTGTAAATAAAGGTGAACAGCAAAGCCAATGTGAGTTCCCAGGTTTAGGTAGAGTAACCCGTGTGGCCTAGTTACCAGCATTGCATAACAGTTTATGGAACCAGACTTATGATGATGGTGGTGCCAGGTACAGAATTTTCAGGGCCATTGTGGCTGTGCAGACAGCCAGGGCATGTGATAGCTAGTGCATCTGTATATAGCGTGAAGGCAAAAATTGCAGCACCTGAGGTGTGCTGTGATTGGTGCTGTGTGCATAAAGAGATCACATGCGAACACTACCGAGTACATCAAGCCTTAATAGAAAGGTTTTGTTCAAATAATGACTTGATAATTCATTGAGTGGATTTATTGATGGCATAAAGTAGTAAGTCTTCTCTCCCGTATTGCTGTTAAAATTGTTTCATAATTTGATACTTGTTCTTAGCAATTCAGTTAGATTACTAGTGGCACTCAATGTGGAATATAAAATAAACCTTTGTCATTCAAATGCACCCACTTACTGCTCTGTAGATCATAGACTTTCTAAGATGCAGATTGAATATTTTAAATGCCAGCAGCCCTTGAAAGTCATTAATTCTCCTGTACAATATCTCTCTTGCAGGGACTATTATGTTGTCCATGGACATAGACTTGAGGATCTTCTAAAGGTAAACTGGGGTTTTAATTTTTTGCAAAAAAGTGTTTGACAACCTGAAAGGCGTGTCATTCTGTGGAATGTGATGACTTCAAACTTTTTTCCCCATCAGATCGGCAATGCTGACCAAAACTTGCATTTTAGCCAGGCTGTCTGATTCCACAGATGCAGAGATGCTTTCCCTGTTCATGTTGCTGTGTAAATACCAATTACAGATAGCACTCCATACCCAAGGCCTGTATGTCCAAAATGATTGCACATAAATGTAGACTACTTTGAAGGCAGGCAGTAATTGAGGGTGCTCTTTGCACACATCTCAATAACACTTGAAGATAGTTTATATATAGTCACCAACACGTGTAACACACATTAACTCAGGGGTCGGCAACCTTTCAGAAGTAGTGTGCCGAATTTTCGTTTAATCACTCTAATTTAAGGTTTTGCATGCCAGTAATACATTTTAATGTTTTTAGAAGGTCTCTTTCTATAAGTCTGTAATATATAACTAAACTATTGTTGTATGTAAAATAAATAAGGTTTTTAAAATGTTTAAGAAGCTTGATTTAAAATTAAATTAAAATGCAGAGCCCCCCGGAGCGGTGGCCAGGACCCGGGCAGTGTGAGTGCCACTGAAAATCAGCTTGCGTGCCGCCTTCGGCACGCGTGCCATAGGTTGCCTACCCCTGCATTAACTGATCGGTATTGACCACAATCCATGTTTTTATGGGCCCTGCAGAGACTGCTGTACCAGATGTAGGTCATTGGCATAGCTGACTGTAAAAATAGCTTGTGTGCTATTACTGCTGTGTTAAAAGTGACTGAATTTATTTTTTGGGGAGAGGGGTATGGCTGGGGTTTCTGCTCTTTTCACTTGTTTATGATGTGTTTGTGGGTGGGTCATCAGCAGACTTTTGTAAGTACTTCAGGTCCCATCCAGCCTGAAAGACTGAAGGTGGGTCAGGTTTTAAAAAGGTATTAGATGCCTAAAGATGCAGACAGGTGCCTAGTGGAATTTTCCAAAGCACCTACCATTTAATTCCCATTTGAAATCAATGGGCATTAGGCATCTTGGTGCTCTTGAAAATTATAAATTCTGCTTAGGCACTTAAATCCCCTTTAGTGATTAGTGCTCATGTCACAGGACTTGTGGGGTGGAAAGCTCAATTAAGAGGGGAAAAGGATATTTATTCAAAATTACTTTGAAACTGGTCTTAACAGCAAATTTAACTTTAGTGAGTAAAAAGAGCTTTTGTTTAAGATTATTATTGTGCGCCTCAACTCTTCATTCAAGGTGTTTGCCTCCTTTATACACTTCCCTTCATCAAGCCCAGGAAATGGCCCTGGTTTTCTTGCTTGCTTTTTTTTTAACCTTGGAAACAATATCTTAAAACAGAGGGGACTGAAAAGTTCAATCTGTTGTGAAGAAGCAAACAGTTGTCTTAATTTTTCCAAAATCTTTAAACATAATGAACTGAAAAAGCAGATTTATGTGGGTGTCTTGCTGTACTAAGTTTGCATTTACTGCTGTAGCTGCATTGGGTCTTAAGATGCTCTAAGTGATATGGAGGGAGAAGTAGCTGTTCCTTATTTTAGCTTGTGGAGAACACAAACACACAAGGTTGAATCCTGGCTCAAACTCCCATGTGTCACTCCTAGAAGTGCAAAGTGACAAGAACTGCTTTAACTGTCTGTAAAATAGGCAGAGTTCATGTGACTAAATCTTGACTTTCCCTTGACAGGTGAAGGAGTTTTCAATGTCAGCACGAAGCAGAAGTTGCCCTGTGAAGTAGCAGAAAGCTCTCCTGTTAATATTGCGAACATTTGCCAAAGTGACAGCAAAATATCCCGAGTCTAGGCTGTTGTATCCACATTGCTCTGCAATGACTTCATGGTCAAGCTTCCCTCTTTCTGTGTGGAGTAAGAAATACTGCATGTCCTGCCTCCTTAAGAGATGCCTAGGGGCTTTAGTAATTTATTGTCTCAAAGCTCATGAGCCATTTCATTGGAAAGGATTGACCATCTATGGACCTTGACGTCTTTTTATGCAGTAACATACTGTGTCCATAATGGCTGTATTCACCCCCATGTAAGCTGGGTTCAACCCATTGCTGTAATGTGGAAGATTATGATGTACTAAAAATCATTAAAAGTACTGAGGTAACTTCTTAAATGGATTGAAGTGTGTGCTTCTGTATATGAATGGGAAGGTTGTGTGGTTAAGCAGAGCCTGGGTCTCTAGACATCAGGGTTCAAATCTGAGCTGTGCTAAGTAGATTTCCTGTTGGATCTTAGCCAAGTCATTTGATCTCCCGGCCTCAGCACCCCATGTGTAAAATGGGGATTATGCTTCCCTATGTTGTGAAGAAAAATCCATTTGTGTTTGAGGTGCTCAAATACCACAGTCGTGGAGATGACCAAATACCTCGATAGCCTGTTCTAGACATGGGTGAATGCAGACCCCAGGCATAAGGTGATGCCAGTATCTTGAGAAGCTTTTAAATGGTTACATTGGGGAAAATACCCAACTGTCGGTTTGTTTTCAGACACATAAAACTACCCCTCAATCATCCTCCTTGGAGACACCTTTCTTAAAACCTACTTTGCATGGTATTCTGACACAGCTGAGTGCTCTAAAAGCTGTTTAGGTTTTGTTGGGCTATTTACTTTACAGATCTGGATGGTCATCAAATAAATGCACCTGGGAAGCTAGGAGTTGCTTACTGACAACTTAGGAGAGCCAGAGCCTCAGTTGCAGTAAGAAACTAAAGGGAACAAGGTTCTGGGGCCTAGTCAGTACGTACTGCCTTAGAGCTGGTAATTCATCCTGCACCGGTATCAGGGACCGGTGTAGCAGTGTTAGTCTGTATCCACAAAAACAACAAGGAGTCCAGGGGCACCTTAAAGGGCTGGTCTACACTGGGGGGGATCGATCTAAGATATGCAACTTCAGCTACATGAATAGTGTAGCTGAAGTCAACGTATCTTCGATCGACTTACCTCACGTCCTCACGGCGCAGGATCGATGGCTGCGGCTCCCCCGTTGACTCCGCTTCCGCCTCTCGCTCTGGTGGAGTTCCGGAGTTGACAGGGAGCATGTTCAGGGATCGATTGCTACCTGTTGATCCGGCGGGTAGTGAAGACGTACTCAAAGATTAACAGATGCCTCTGAAGAAGTGAGGTTTTTTTACCCACGAAAGCTTATGCCCAAATAAATCTTAGTCTTTAAGGTGCCACCGGACTCGTTTTTATCCTGCACCAGGTGGTTTGCATGCTTTGGGGCTGCTGTGGTAGCCAGACTTGCAGTGAAGCCTTGTGTTCTTAGTGTCTTGGCTCCCTCATCTCCCTGCTTCTGACACATGGTATTGGTTAAGGGTATGTCTACACTATGGCAACAATGTTGGCATAATTATGCTGGCAAAGGGTTTTTCTGTTGCTGTAGCAACACCTCCCTGAATGTGGGTAGCTCTGTTGACAGCACTCTCGCATAGCTATAACATCTCTGATGTAGTTTTTTCACTCTCCTGACCAATGCAGCTATGCTGATAGAACTTCCATGTGTAGACTAAGCCTCAGAGCAGATAGGGCTTAGTAAGGGTGGGCATACTGCAGAGCACCTGTTGCCAGCTTTTCCTCTCCACATTTGTCTGTCTCCCCATTCAACTCCTGGAGTGTCTCAGAAGAGAACAGTGCCCTTGGGGTGGCAGTCTCCCTTTTCTAGCTGGATCTGTTTGTATCTCTACCCCTTGAGTTGGAGTGGAGAAGCTAGCCTGAAGGCATTCTGTGCAGTTGCTGCACTTTTCCCTCATTTCTTTTGACTTGCACAGAAATAAAACGAGGCCCCTTCAAGGCGAATAGCTGCTGCTATAAATTACAAAACACAATAAGCCTACACAACTCTGCCTAAATCTCATTTCCCCTTAAGAGCTCTGTTCTGTAGATGCAGCCAGGTGACTTCAGAACTGAGAGAAAATCCAAGGCCCTTCAGAGAAAGGTCTAGGGTCAGCCCCCCTCATAAATCCAGGGGAATCTAGCTCTGTTGCCTCTGCTGATCCTAACTGTCTGACAGGAGGAAGATGACATATTTAGTGATTGCATTTGCTAGTTCTGGCTTGTAGAACCATTTCTTTAGTGAAATGGAGGCACTTAAATACTGCAGCTTTCTACCCCCATCTTGCTGACACTTGTCTCAGACCTCCCAGGCTACCTTTAATACAGATGCATATAGTGCATACTAAGGGTACATCTACACTACAGGGGGGAGTCGATTTAAGATACGCAAATTCAGCTACGTGAATAGCGTAGCTGAATTCGATGTATCACAGCCGACTTACCCCGTTGTGAGGACGGCGGCAAAATCGACTTCTGCGGCTTTTTGTCGGCGGCGCTTACTACCACCTCCCCTGGTGGAGTTAGAGCGCTGATTCGGGGATCGATTGTCGCGTCCCAATGGGATGCGATAAATCGATCCCCGAGAGGTCGATTTCTACCCGCCGATTCAGGCGCGTAGTATAGACCAGACCTAAGAGGAAATCACTAAAGCAGGAAAAAGCCAGTCAGGGTGGCAGTTAGAGCCATGGGATATCTGGCAGCTCTCCTGTACATCTAATTTACATATTCTGATTCCATTGATTATATTAAGCAGTAGTAAAAATCTGTTTTGTTTCCCCTCTTAACTGCTGTCAGCCTGTTCTAGTGTGCAGTGATTTACCACAAGACACAAAAATCCTAACTACTTTGCCCTGTGTGATGAAGCTGAGTCTCAAGTGAGGCTGCTGTGTTTGTTTAGGAAGGTGACAGCCATTCTCCATCTGGCATGATTGCTATGTGGCACACAATATTCCTGGCTGAGTGATGTTTCACTGCAAGCCGGAAGCAGCTGGGGTCAGCCCTGGCAGATGTTTGACATTGGTTGAACTGATGACTCCACCAGGGTCTGGCTATGTGTGGCTAAATAAGCTGGTAGCACTTCTGCATTCCTGCTGCAATGCACATGCATGCTTCAGAGCGGATACTAAGAGCGGGAATGTGTTCATTAGCTAGCAGCATCTAGAGTGTTAGGACTCCATTCAAACTGCAGGCTTGATGAAAATAGCTGCTACTAATGTGCTCATGTAGGGGAGTAATGCAGCAGGTGTGTACATTAGAGGTGGGTGTTTCTAAAAACAATTCTCATGCCATATTCATTAGAACTCAAGGAGCAGGCTGAGTTTTCCACAGCTGTAAGGTAACATGTCTGCAATGTCCTGGTCAGTGCAAACCTGTAACTAGTTAATAGTTCATACATGCTTAATACAATGAAGTGAGCTGCATTTGCCTGGGGGCAAATAGTACTTCTGGGGGAATTCTGTGCTAAAAAAAATAAAAATTCTGCAAATTGTATATCAAAATAACACTAAATAATCACATCAGTGTAAATTATTTTGGTAATTTATTTCAAAATACCTGTCAGCAAGTATGTCTGTAACAATACAGATCCACAAAAAATCCCCCCTGGAGTAGAGAGTTAAAGAAACCCCATCGGCAGCCCAGTTCCTGTTTCTCTGTGCCCCTAGCCCAGCCAGGTGCTCAGACACTCTTTCCACCCCAGAGTTCAGCCATGGGGCCCTCCCTGGCCCAGACACTCTCACTCCCTACTAGAGGAGAAAGTAAGCTGGTCTGGTATAGCATACTGCTAAGAATGTGGCTGCTAGTACACAGCTGACCATAAGAACAGGGCTGCTGATTGGAGGGGAGGGGCAGCTGCCCTGGGGCTCCTGGCAACGGCTGCAGCCCTGGACCCTTTAAATTGCCAATGGATCCCTGGGCGGCATAGGCCAGGCAGCACTGAAGGAATGGCTAGGGGAGTCTGGCTCTACCCCACCCCTTCCAGGGCCCAGTGCTGCCCCCCACACTTTGCCAGGACCCTGGCCGCCCTGCATACTGGTAAGTCCTTTAAATTACTTTCACCCCTACCCACCTAGAGCCCAGGGATCCAGGGGGAGAAACAGCCTGTTGCTGGGTTCCGGGCTTGCACGCAGGGCCGGCTCTAACTTTTTTGCTGCCCCAAGCAGCAAAAAAAAGCGCCGAGCGCCGTGCCGCCGGAACCCCCCCCC